ATAATGGTGATCAAGGTGGGCAACACGAAACATATTTAATTACAACTGTGATGAGTTCTACAAAGGAAGTATTTAGCAGCACAGAATTATTAATTAATTGAAATGTTATGGTCTCAGTACAGAAACAGAAGCCTAGATAAAGATCCATGCATATGTGGGAATTTTATTATTTGTAAATAATAAAAGTGGCATCACAAATCTGTAGTGAAATAATGAACTAAGAAGTGATATTGGAAAAAGAAATTCTCTGTATCGCAAAAAGTAAAACTGGATTCCTATCTAAGACCTCACACACACACACACACACACACACACACGCCAATCATTTTCAGATGGATTCAAGACATGTAATGAAAAATTTCTTAAACAAGACCAAAAATCTCAAATCATAAAAGGTTGATAAATTTTACTATATAATAATTAAAACTTTAAGATAAAAGATACTCTAAGACAACAGGCAGATTTGTGAGAAAATATTGTAACATATACAACAGACAAAAGATTATATAAAGAAGAATATCAATTCATTAAGAAAAACTCAAATTGGGGAAAGGATATGAACAGGCAATTCATAGAAGAGGAAAATCAGTTAATTAACATCTTAACCAGACCATTTGTCCATTAAATAATATACTAAGAATTCCATCCATTTTCTGCTTTTTACTAGCATTGCTATCACTGTTATTTAGGGATGAGTCAATTAATCTGTTTTTGAGACACCCTCCTCCCAAGATTCACTTATGATCTGAAAGCTATGATGATCCAACATCAGGTAACTTTATGTGGACATTTTATGAGTGTTATTGCAATTATAATAAAAAATCCTGACATGAGTACATTTACTTTTATAATTTTGAATTTAATAAACTGTTTCCTCATGAATACCTATTTTAATGCTCACTCTGGTTTGAAAAACATTAAGCTAGCTAGGGAACAAAAAATCCAAACCCATTGCCACAGAGTTGATTCCAACTCATTGACCCTATGTGACAGAGCAGAACTACCCCATAGGGTTTCGAAGGTTGTAAATCTTTATAGAAGCAGACTGCCTCACCATGTAGCGGCTGCTGGGTTTAAAACCCTGACCTTTTGGTTAGCAGGTGAATGCTTTAACCACTGTACCCCAAAGCTCCTTAAGCTGGATGAAAACTCTTAAACTGTAATCAACTTATATGTGTGGTTAATAAGCCTTTAGAATTCAAACAAGTCTGAGGCAACTCATTTTTTTTTCATTCTTATGTACAATGATAGAAACTGACAAATTTATTTTTTTAAAAAAGGATGCATTCTTAAAAAATTTTCATTAAAAAAAAAAATCAAAAGAAAAACTGAACAGTGCCTAAATCTTTATTTTTCATAACCTACATTTTCAAATTAGACAGTTTTACACTGAAAGACACAAAAGGAAACTTAAATTACCAATAGTTTACATGTAAGCTTGATTCCAGTCTTAATGAAAAGAAACAGAACAAAAACTAAACCTTCAAGAAAGCTTCCACATTATGCCCCCATTTTGTGAATTGGCAGCTGTTACTTCTCCTTAAATCGATTGTCTGCTGCTTTCTGTGTAATAGGTTACAAAGCACATAAAATCCATAACTATAGCTCAGTGAAGGGAGATACAAAGATAGGTATGCACCATTAGTCACCTGTTGCCCTTGTGATAAATTGAACCAGTTTTTAAATGTAAACTGTAGGAATCTTAACAGATAATACAGCAACATAAAAAGTTTTTTTGCCACCTGCTAGTGACAAACAGTGATGCGATTACAAGAGGGGCTGATCAGAAACATCATGACAATAACTCCTAAAAAGCAACTATTCTACTTTAAATTCATTTCTAGTGAAATGGGGCCAGATTCCTATTCTTGTATTTCCAAATAATAAGTATCATCACACAATTTTACAAGTTAAAATGTCATTTGCAACTGCTGTATCTCTGATTCTGTAAGCTGAGATACTGCTGGGGGAAACGAAAGAGAAATTTAAAAAAAAATTTATGATAGCCACATATTATTAGCTGCATGTAACATAGCAACAGTCTGCATGCACCACTACAGCGTTCTACTGTGAATCTCCCCTTTTTTTTTTCCTGTGAGTGACAAATCTCAAAGTATATAGTCTCAGAAAGGGTTCGTACTTTCTTTTTTTTTGTTATTTTTTTGACATTATATAGCTATTTGGCATATTACTTTCACTTAATTAAAAAGAATGATTAAAAAAATCCCATCAGAGCAAGGTTTCAACGCTTGATGCAACAGACTGTTGCTGGGTAAAGCAATAATTACAGTGTATTGACCTAGTACAAATGGCAGCAGAATACATTAGAACAGCACAACACACCCTGCTGGTCTCAATATATTATCTTATAATGTACCAGTTCACTATAATGATTAGCTGTACACTGTTGCTACTATAAGTGATTTTTTTTTTTCTCGTTTGCAGCTGTTGAGCTTTACACTTTCAGCCAACAAACAAAGCACATAACTACAGCTGGCTTTATCCATATACAAATCAAGCTGCAATGTTCACTGCCTTCAGGGAAAAGGAATTATCATTATTAAAAACCAATGAGTTGGCTCGCTAGGATTTGTAATTCTGGTGATGACAATGGTTGACAACATCACGTTTTTCCCGCTAGCAAAGACTGTAACATTAAGAATGATTAGGTCTTAGAACTCAGCTTTCCAACTCTTTTTATAGTATTCATTAGTGTGAGGTTAAGAAGTCAATTCTGATTTTTTAGTCAGCAATTTGACAACTACAAAGAAATAAATTCCCATGATCCCTTCATGGGCATTCGAAATATATTAGCATGACATATTTAAATAACAACTGCTCTGAAGGAAATGTGACCAACTCTATCAGGGTAAGTTTCCCTCGGGCAGGCTAAATAATGCTTAGTATGATTTTAATCAATAGATTATTATTATTTTCTTTTTTTACTTTCACTTAAAGATACTGTCAGTTTCTGTTTTCTATGTTATACCTCAAAACCCTTTCACATTAGATAAAATGCCTACTTTTTAAAAGAGTATGAAAACTTTTGAAGGCTTTTAATAAGATTTTCCATTTCCCTTTTGCAGTGAAGAGGCAGAATCAGTTCAACACACCAGTATAAGAGAAAAAGAAAAAGAAAAAGAAGAAAACTTGAACAAATTAAAATATTCAAACCACAACATTTAGTTTATCTACATCCAGCTCAACAGCAACATTTATAATATATCAATAATTTTTATCAGATTTTTCTCTTTAGGGTACCTTTTTAATATGTTCTGATTATTTACAACTGTACAAGCAAAGCACACACTTCCAAGTGCACATATTTAATACAGTATTGACTATTTGCATTTACAGGATTTTTCAACAATCTGAAAAAAGATCAACTGTTTAAGATCTTTAAAGTATATTACAAAAACTACTGCTAGTTCTTGTACTACAGTATGCTTACTCAGTAAAACTAGTGACAACAGATCTACACAGTAACTGAGTAACTCTGTAATCCACTCATGCCAACCCAGGGGGCCGGTCTCCATTAACTCTAAGCTGTCTTATACAAAAGTTAAGGCAAAGTCATTTTCAAGTTTAAATAAAATTCAAGTCTTTAAATATTGGATGGAAATAATTTTTTTTTAAACAACAACAAAAAAAACAAACATCTCAGTCTTGTTAAATAACATTTTGTGGAATAAACTGTATGGTTACATTTAGCAGGAATATTCTTATTTTAATGTCTGCTCCTTAGAATATTTAAAGAAAAATTTAGGCATTTTAAAACAAAATAATTTATAGTTAACTTTATTAGAAACTTGCTAAATTTAGTGCATCCTTGTTCTTTAGAAGTGCAGCACTTCCAAAAGTGAATCAATGAGAAACCTCATCTTGGAGGTAAAGAGAGCAGGAATTTTCATCCTCCACTGCCCAAAGAGGGGGGAAAAAAACCACAAACACCATTCTCTCATGATTAAATAACTTTTAAATCCATGTGCCAATGCAGTGGTACAGGAGATGTCAACACAGAGCTGACTAAAATAGGGACTCTTTCAAAGAGTACTTGGGGGAAATGATGACAGAAATTTATATAGAACCTAAGCACTAGGTCTGGGGAAAACCACAAAGTAAGTGGAGACTTTTATCACCTTCCTTGCCAGCACAAAAGTTATTAAAACAACACTATAGTACAATTTTGTGGTAACATGTTCAATGGGCAAGAAAGTTTATATTTTCATTTAAATTCTATTAACAATGTGCTTTGAATTTATTTTACATAATAGCCATTTGAAAATGGAGTGAGAAGCTGGTTACTTGCTTGCAGTACATGAAAATGCAATTGTTTTAGGCCTCTCTATGGTGCTCTCTGCAGGTTCATTATGCCCAGGCAACCAAAAATAAAATTATATTCAAGAAATAAAAATGCATTCTAGAATCACCTGTTACCAGCTTAAGTGAAAAGTACAGTTCTTATGCCAGTGTGTCACAATCTAAAAACATTTACCCCTTTCTCAAGGTCATGTTTACCAGTGTAATCTTGCATTCACAATACTAGCTGTCATCAGCTTTCATCAGTCTGTTGACATTTTAAAGGTATGTACTTGTCAAGCAGTTATTAAAAAAAAAAAAAAAAAGTAGCGTAGTCCCACTTAATTTAGAAAAACTCACTATTTATAGCTTGCATTCATAGCCACATGGAGGCTTAATGAAAAATACCAACTTGTAGGGATAAATGCATTTTTTACCCTGAAAAAAATTAGACTTATGCATCACCTCCAGTTAAGCACCAACCTAAAATAAGGTTTATATTAATTAAATCCTGAAAAATAGATTTTTTTCAAGAAGGGGAAAATCTGACTTATAGAAGAAAAGTAACTTGCAGGCATTTCATATGCCTCATATACAATGCAAGCTCCTAACCAGCAACTCATTCTCTGTACTGAGTGGGAACAGTGTTTCATTTGTGGTTAAACAGAACTCTTTTACAACCCCTCCCAGACATACAAGTTTCATTGAGGAGACTTAGGAGGTGTGTTCTGTTCTCTATTTAAACGCTTCCCAATGGCTGGAGGTGGGGATCTGCGCCCCAACTGCCTTCTCTGATCTTTGGGTTGTCCTGGATTTGACTTCAGGGGAGGGGGTTCTCTGTATCTCTCCACTGGTTCAGTGAGTTTCTTTTCTTCTTTCCCACAACCGACAGTGTTTGGCTTTTGTTCTTTTTGGGGTTGTAATGGGGAAGAAGGAGGCTCTTTACTTGTTCTCTGACAAATCTCTGCGTAGCTAGGTTTTCGCAATTCCTGGGAAATAGACAAAATGTTGGAATTACATGCGTAAAATGATCTCTTCAGTGATGACATGGCGAAATGAAGTTCATTTAAGATAAAAGTTTAAAAAAAATCCAATTAAAACCAAATTTTCATATTCATGAGTTTTCCTTAGCAAGACAACTTTCTGTCTAAGATACTCTAGAAATATCTTTTTTAAATGAATAAAATTAGAAAAAGCACAGAGATAAAAAGTAGTGTCTGAACTTTTTGCAACGTTTACTCTTTAAACATTCTTGAGCTCTATGGAAGCCTAAAGAAACAAAAAAGATACCCCTAGGAAATGACACAAAAGTAAACTTACACTTTTCCTTGCCCCACACATTCTTCAAAACATAATCCCAGTTAAGGCAATGGTAATGATATGTGAGTACTCAACAGAACGTTAACTAATCATTATATAAAAACAAGTTAAAGAGGGGCTTCAGGTTAGTGAAAACAAAGACTATATAACAGAAGAAAAGGGAAAACTTAAAAATATTTCATCTATAAAAACTATTTTTTAAATTAATTTTAACCTATACAAACTCATCCCTATGGATAATAAAAGTTTAAACCAAAATCAAAATCTCACCTAAATATCAAAGTGAGAACAATAACCACAAAGGATTAAAAAAAAAAAAAGTTTCATTTACCCAAAAAAGGGAACTACAAGAAAGGAAGAACAGGAATTTACATCTGCTGGAATGAATAGAACTGGAGGATGAAATACACGCATATATTTAATAATAGTAATAAATAAAAGGAAATAACGGAAACACTTTAGAAGCACTATAGTACACTATGAATTGTAAATAAGTTGTGACAACAACATAAAAGGGGGGCAAATCTGTATAAAATTCTGTATAAAAACAGAATTTTTGTATTCTATTAAGTTGGTATCAATTCAAACTAGATTGTTATGAATTTAGGGTGTTAAGTGTAATTCCTATGACGAGCACACGGAAAATACTTTCAAAATTTACACAAAAGGAAATGAGAATCAAAATAGTTTACTACAAAAAAAATCAACTAAACACAAAAGAAGGCAGTATGGAAATGTGGACAAAAAAAGGAGAAGACACAACACAAACAACAAAATGCTAGCAGAAATAAGTCATTTCTTATCAGTAAACAGTTTACATTCAACGAATTATTATTTAGTCATAAAGAGAAATGCTATTTGCTCTGATATGAATGAACCTTGAAAACATTGCTAAACCAGACACAAAAGGGCAAATGCATGATCTCACTTATATGAACTATAAGAATGTGCAAATATATATTAACAAAAGTAGACTGGTGGTTACCAAGGGTTGAGGGGAAGGAGGAATAGGGAATTATTACTTAATGGATACTACGTGTCTATTTCATATGATGGAAAAGTTTTGGAGAAGGATGGTAGTGGTGGTTGCATAACGCTGTGAATGTAATTAATTATGGTCAGTGAATTGTACATTTAAAATGTGGCAAGTTTTGTGTTATATATATCTTGTTGTTGTTGTTGTTATGTGCCTTCGAGTCAGCCCTGACTCATAGCGACCCCTCCTTGGGTTTCCGAGGCAGTATCACTACGGAAGTAGTATTGCCCAACCTTCCTTCCGAGGAGTGGCTGGTGGGTTTGAACCACCAGCCTTCTGGTTAGCAGTCAAGTGCCTTAGCCACTATGCTACCAGAGCTCTTACCACAATAAAATCAAAACACTCTAAAAAACAAAATAAAAAATGCACTGTTGAATAAGTGGAGCTACATTTGACTTAAAATAAAAAATAAGGAGGACTGGATGTAGTGCCATCCATTCCATTTTCTTTTTATTATCTGTTATATTTAGTTATTACTTTTTATATTTATATTTAATTACTTATTATAAACATGACATATAGTAAATGCTTAACTGATCACATATTTTACAAAAGAACAGGAACTAGAATCTTGTTAACTACTCAAAAAGATAATCAAAGGTACTGGAATACAAGGATTGTATGGCTGTGATAATGAGAAACAATCAGAGTAGTTAGTTAAAAATTATTAGCAAATATTCATGGTATTTTGTACAGAAAACACAACACACACATACACACATACACGCACACAAATAAACACCCATCAAATTAGATTTTATTAAAATAAGCTGATACAGAGGGGAAAAAAGCTATGTGTTTTTTTTACCATACCTGAAAGACTTTGTGACTTAAGAAAATAAGCACTAGTTACGTACTGTGGCAGTTCCATTAACTTGCACTGATTTACATGCAGTAGTAGTAAGAGTAGAAGAAAGTCTTTCCATACTTTGTGTTTCCCTCTGCTTTTCTACAACCTTGGAATCTCTGTAAAAATATCATCCAATATTTGAATATCATGAACCATTACAAGTAATTCAAAATTGGTAAATTCAAAGCCTGTAGAATATTACTACTTACTCGGGTAAATGGGCTGGGGAAGGAGATTGTTCATAAGTTGCTGATACAGCACAAGAGACTGGCACTGAAGGCTCTCTGGAGATTACTGCGGGAATAGTGTTTGTACTTGCATCCATATTTAGGTTCTAAAAATTTAAAAGAACAGATTCATGATATTGTAAAGATGAATATACATCTAATCTTTTTCATACTGATTTTACATACGGCCCAAAAAACAAACAAACAAAAAAAAACCACAACTGTCTACAAGTTTTGGAGAACTCTAAAACATCTATAAAAATGGCTTTTTATCTTATTCTTGGTGAAAACAAATTTTAGTTGACTCTCCCTAGGCCTGAATGGAGCTGACAGTCAGCTATGTGCCTACCTCTACCTCAAAAGAACAGAGTTACAATAGTAGACCCCACTTTGGAAAAACTGCTAATTTCCATCAAACATAAATGCAAAAGGAAATAATCAGAGGAAGATGCTCTTCTCTAGCAAAAATGTTAGGTATTCCAAGTCTCCTTTTGTCTACAAAGTTCTCAGCCCTTTTTCCTTTCAGCAAGTATTTGATGATTTTCATGTCTCAGACTCTTTCTACTAATTATAATTCCATTATAATTATTTGTACTTGTTTCATCAACTAAATAGGTATTAAAAACATCTTATTCACCTCAGACACTCCAATGCTCAGCATAGCCTGGCACAAAATTAGCATTTGAATATTGTAGAGTTCCTAACACAATTCTTATGTGAATTAAAACAACTGTTGGAAGGAAGTGTATTAATTCTCCTAATTTGACAGATGAGGAAACTGAGGTTTAGAATGTTTAAATTATTTATTTCCAACGTTGCAAGGTACAGAACTAAAAAAAACAAAAAACAAAAAACAAAAAAAACCCAGACGTTCTTACTCTAAACTAGTGATATTACCATGTATGGTTACCATTTCTTTCTTTCTCTCTCTCTCTCTCTCTCTCTCCCTCTCTCTCTCTCCCTCCATCCCTCCCTCTCTCTCTCTCTTTCTCTCTCTCACACACACACATCTTCACATTATATGCAATTTTCTTGATATTTCTTATTACTTGTCATGTAATTATAACTGATAGTGAGTTTAGGTGGGAAGACATAATTTTCTTAAAACTGTACTTTTCAAAGCAGATAAAAAATTCAGAAATGAAATGGACTGAGGAACTGAGCCTAGAGCTCAGGAAGGGAATGAGAGGAACTTACCAGCACTGTTTATATACTTTTACCCTAGGTAGGGAGTAGAACCAGAGACTTTGAGATCTCTGTTAAGCAAGAACCTTTTATGACTACTGTGCTCAAGATGAAGCAATCTAGGTTGGTGGGAACTTGGGAACGGCATATCCCTCCTTTTTGTAGTCTAAATATTGAGTATTAACACAACTTAAATGTAGATATCCTTGTACTATGCTAGAAGTCAAAGAGCTGCCATCACACTAATAGTCTCTAAGATCTTCAAGAGGTTTCCTGGGCCACTCTAGGCCTCTCCACCATCATCAATAAGGGTTTAACTGAACAATGTCTAAATTCCCTTCCCTTCCAGGTCTAAAACTTGATTGTAAAGTTGATATGTCTCTCTTTAAAATGCTATTATAGATGCTCCACTGAGAAACAGTTACACATATTATTCCAACTGGCTGTGGAATCAGGCTCTGATTTTTTACAAGTACCAAATCTTTTGTCAAAAGGACATTTACACAGAAGTTCAACATGCCAACAATAGAGCTGCTGTTACTAAACTAGGGTTAAGGCCTCTTGTTCAGCTCCTCTATCAACCTTCAAGGGGTGTAAAATACAAAATTTGAAAACTTACATGATCTTTAAAGTACATTAATTTTCTAACACCATTCTATAAGGACTGTTAACTCAGAAATTATTGTTTGAAAGTTTACAATTTAAAATAATGTGTAAAGAATGCTAAAAGTAATGTGTGATTGTTACCACAAAACACAAAATCTTAGGATTCATTCAACCTCCAAGGTTAAAAATAGGAGCAATAGCCAACAAAACGAAAAGAATTATAAACACACTTCATATGGCTTTATGATTCAGGAGCAAAATTCAATTTTAAACTTTGCTTTAAGGACTTGAGAAACTGTAGTACACACTAAGTCAATCTAAACTCAGGCTATGGGATGGTACCTTTTCCCAAAATTCAGCTGGAGATTCTGATTCATCAGATCTGGGGATTAGTCCATTGAGTGGTGATGGATGTATTACATTTGAAAAAGGTACACAGGTGATTCTAATGCACAGTCAAGGTTGAGAACTACTAGTATAAGGGAATATGCTACCAACAAGTTATCCTCCGCACTTATACATGGCTAATCATTAATAATATAAAAAGAAAATGGTTTCTTTTTACTCTGCAGGGGAGCTCTGGTGGCCTAGTGCCTAAGGCATTTGACTGCTAACCAGAAGGCTAGAGGTTCAAACCCACCAGCTCTTCCTTGGAAGGAAGACTGGGCAACCTACTTCGGTAGAGATACCGCCTCAGAAACCCAAGGAGGGGTCCCGCTGAGTCAGAATTGACTTGACGGCTGAGATTTCGGTATTTTTTTTTCCTCACTTTTGCAGCGCCTTCAGAAATTAATCCTAATAGCAGGACAAATCCCTCCAACTAAATGAAATTGGAATCCAGAAGGCATATTGGAAACTAATACCCTTAAACTTCTATAAATCAAAATGGATGACTCCTGGGATTATAATCATTACAGAGGGGTGAAAGCAACTAGTTTGGTAGCCTATGGAGTTCAACAAAAGCCATTAATATTACTCCAGGCTTCTTGGTACTCATCTTATGTAGATTACTAAAAATTATATTAAAACAAGAAAACCAAATAGCTGGTGGGTTTGAACTGCAGATCATCTGGTTAACATCCAAATGTTTTACCCATTAAGCCACCAGAGCTCCTTATAGTATAGTAAACTAAAAGGCAGGTCTTTAACATCAACAATAAAATGCAACTAAGATTCTGGATGAGAGGTGGAGTCTGTTCACCACATCAAAGTATTGGATTCTTGCCTTTTAAAGTTCTCAGATAGCAAGGTAACTAAAAGAGATCATGGACTTTAGAGCATAACAGTCCTAAAGTTCAACTCTAACCTTACAACTCAAAATCTATGTGACTTTTGCAAATAACTTAACTTCTAAGTCTTATCTGTAAACCAAGGGTAGTATTACGTACATTCACAAGTTTCTTCTGTGTATTAAAAAAATAATGTATGCAAAAAGCTCAGCAAAGTGCCTAGTACAAAATCAGTGCTTAGTAAATGTTAGTAGTTACTAGACTTATAATAAACATCTTACCCTTTCTTTTGATGATCCTATTATCAAGCTAGATAGCCTGTTTTCAAACAAGTCCTCTGCCTTTAAATTGCCTACAGCTCCAGGCAAAGGAGGAAAGTTGGAGAGCCCTAATTCAAAACTAGGAGATGGAGGCTTTGGTGGCGTTGGAGATTGAGTTTGACTCCTCTGTAACAAAAACAATATCCAATAAAGTTAAGACAAATGTAAAAAGTCATTACAGTATAAGAAATACATCAAAAGAATATAAGACAAATAATCTGTCTTCTAAAATACTTTGGTTTTCACATCTATCTGAAAACAATATGTTTAAACAAACAACAGACAGATAATCAAACCATATAAACACTTTATCACCTATCAAAGATCATTTATTAGGCAACTTCAACCACCTAGAATAGAGTTGTAAAACAGAAATCCCAAGATGACTGACAGCCAAGACATACGTCACAAAGTACATTAATAAAATATAAATACTTTGTTCATAGAGCTTCTCATTACCCCATTAGAAAATATCAGAATAGCCTGAGTCAAAACAATAACTGTATTCATCTCTAGACAACAGTTTTGTATTATTACAGCATAGTCTATGTAACAAAGCAATAGTGCTAATGTCATAAATATTCAAACAACAAAAATTCCACTTTTACCATCCTGTAACAACCTGTGTAAGAAATATTTACCAAGATTTTCATCTTAAAAAATAAATAAATAAAAATAGGAGGGCTTCAGGAGTCTGAATATTAACTTACTGTAACACTATATAGTTTTAAATAAGTAATCATGTCAAAAAAGGTATTAGATAACAGATTCTGATTTCAAGAAAATAAAGGAAGGACAATAGTATCTGAATGTAATTTAAAAGTCCAAAATCTCAAAAGATAGTAATATTATTTTTATTGAAAAAATAGCAATCAACTTGCTTTAACAAGCTAGAAGGTATTTTTCAAAATCCCAGTTGCTTGGTTGGGGGATACTAGAAACAGAAAAGGGAAATGAGTTTATATTCAGGTGTAATTCAGTTATTTTTCAAGAATGGTTGGCTACTTTGATTAGGCAGCACTGCTCTCATGGCCTTTACCCTAACTTGAAAGGGTCAACATTTCCCAGAAATAAATACCGACAGGAGGATTACTCCCTATGTGAGTAGAATGCAGAAAAAAATATGATAAAGCTCAAATTAAAGCAGATTAAATGGATCCAAGTTGACAAAAATTCCTCTGTATATTATGAGTATCCAATATGGTATAGGTGCTTAATTTTGTTGTTTGTTTAACTTTATTGTGCTTTGGCAGCACATTTACAAAGCAAATTTGTTTTACATTCAACAGTTCATGCACATTTGATTTCATGTCCTGATTACCATCTCCAACCATAACAAATTCTCCTCCCCTCTCATCCCTGTGATAACCCCTCTCCCTGTGCCCTTTTTAACTATGCATTCCTGTCTACCCAGCATTCCCTCTATGCAAATGCTGCCCCTCTGGTGTCTAATGGTTAATCAGGGTGCAGCTAAGGGGTGCATATGCCTAGAGTAGGTGAGTGCATCGCCTTGGGGTAGGTATTCTGCATGCAGGTCTTTCTACTGTTGGGCTGAGAGCCAATCCATAGCAGTGAGTCCATTTCTAGACCTGAAGTATAATCTGGGGCCACAGTCTCGGGGGTTCTACCAATCTCCATCTGACTGGTAATTCTGGTCATATTTGTGTTTTTGAATTTTGTTCCACATTTTTCCTCCCACTCTATCCAGGATCTCCAGTTTTGATCCCTCTCTGAGTTGTTGGCACAGGTATCATCTGATTCTTCTGGTCTTGGGGTCATGAAGGCTGAGGTTCTTGTGGTCCATCTTATTCCTGGACTAATTGTTTCCTGATACCTTTTCCTTACTCTTCTTTGATTCAGATGAGAGCAGACCAATAATTGCATTTTACATGGTGCTCAAAAGCTTTTAAGAGCCTAGTCACCAAAGTAGATTGCAGAACAAGATTTCTATATACTATGTTGTGCCTATTGAGCATGAGGTTCCTCAAGAGTATAATACTGAACCTGCAGGCCTGGTGATTTTCTCTCTCAAGGTGTTTGTTGTCTCTGAGAAGTTACTTCAACTCTGTTCTCTGTTACTTCTGTGATGCATGTGGCTAATTTTGTAGCACAAGTGCATATGTAAGATCATTTTCAGCTAAAGCTATCCTTGGTCTAGGGTATATTCCTGTTCACCTCCTTCCACCTGATCTTCTCATCTGTCTATGCATTTATCCATAGCCTGGTGTTTGGTGTTAATGGTAATGCAGTATTGTGCATGTACTAGTATTTGCCTCTGCTGTCTATATCTTATGTGCACATTTCAGTGTTCTTCCTTTCCCCAATGTCATCATGCTGGTCACCGACACTTTCTATACCATCATTCCCCTCTCCCAAATCAACATGTGATTCCCTTCCCTCTCAACTCCGATAACCAACAAAGTGAATTTCTTTCCCTGAGTAAACCTTTCCTTGACTTTTTACAATAATGGGATCATACAATATTTGTCCTTCTGCGATTGACTTATTTCATGTAGCATAATGTCCTCCAAATCCATCCATGTTGTGAGATGATTTGTGTATTCTTCATTATTCTTTAATGTTGCATAGTATTCCATTATGTGAATGTGCCATAGTTTGGTTACTCATTCATATGTTGATGGGCATTTAGGTTGTTTCCATCTCTTTGCTATAATGAATTATGCTGCGATGTCTGTTCATGTCCTCTCACCTCTTCAGGATATATTCCTACTAACAGAACTGCTAGATCAAATGGTATTTCTATTTTCAGGTTTTTAAGGAAATGTTATACCATTTTCCATAAATATAGGTGCTTAATTTTGCTCAGTTATGTGCCCTTAGTATTAACCTTGCACTTATAAACTACGTGGCTATTACAGGCTCTCTATCATCTAGTAAAATGAGAATAGTAATATTCAAAATAATCCAGTAAAGTTCTAAATTATGCACAGACACTATGATCTCAAAAAATATCAACGCATCTTTTATTTTAAACATTTTTATGTTTCTGGGGTATATGTTAGTTTTCAGAAGTATTTTTAAAAAAAGAATTCATAAAATTTACTAAATCTTGATTTTTAGGGACAGAGGCTTGGCAACGACTATGTAGACATAGGAATTACAAAATGACAGAGCCTACACATGGTATTTGATTCTGAAGGCAGTGTTCAAATTTTTCTAGGATTTGAATGGCTCTAGGTGAAATGTGAATGCTGCTCCTGGTTCTATGGGCTTGTTCAGGTCCAACTGCTCACACATTTATGTTACCTGTCAATTTTTGAAGTTATTAAAATTTCTAAGCTTCATATATGAAAGTACAAAAGGTATATTTTCTATAGTATGACTCATACTCCTGAGCTTCCAAGGGTTCACAAGTAAGAACACACGCATCAGGAACACAAAACAAAACAACATAGAAATGGCAATGGGAATAATTCAGGTAATCCATATTTCACAATCAATATTGAGATGGTAGTATTGTTAGTACACGTTTACAAGAATGCCAACAATTCCAACTGAAATCAACCACTATAAACTTCCTTACCAAAGGGTTATCTGAAAACTAGGCTAAAATGACATACGTAGAATTCTGGATATTTATTTATTTACGACTAATACGTATTTTCTAAGTTCTCTTATGGGAGCTCTGGGGCATAGTGCCTAAGGCATATGACTGCTAACCAGAAGGCTAGTGGTTCAAACCCACCAGCCACTCCTCGGAAGGAAGGTTAGGCAATCTACTTCTGTAGTGATACTGCCTTGGAAACCCAAGGAAGGGTCACTTCCTTGAGTCGGATCTGACTCGACAGCAGTGAGTTTGGTATTGGTTTTGGAAGTTCTCTTATGGCAGTGGTTAAGGTATTTGGCTATCAACCAAAAGTTGGCAGTTTCAAAAACACCAGGTGCTCCATGGAAGAAAGTGGAAGCAGTTGGCTTTCATAAAGATTTACAGCCTTTGAAACCCAATGGAACAGTTCTACTCTGACATATGAGGTCACTAGGAGTCGGAATCAACTTGATGGCATTGGGGTGTTTGGTGATGAAGTTCTCAACAAAGAAAATCTGTCTTTTATAATGAAAACGCACCCACATGATGGCTCAGAAGACTGGGCCAAGATTTTTCTCAAGGTTTTTTTCCCCCAGTTCTTCCAAGTGTGGAAATCTACAGCTGTAAGCTCACAATATAGACTTTCTTTCACATGTCTTCATGCACATTGTTAACCCTGCCCACAATATTTTGTTATCGTTATATGTTGAAGGTTCCATACTGACCTCTGTTAAAGCCCAGTAAAAATAATATCCTATGAGAAACTCTGTATAATCAATTCAAGCAAAAGTGACCACCTCTCATCTACTTAAGACTCACATAAACTTATTACATATTTTTGGGTTTGTTCTGACCATACATTATAGCAGAAGGCAATAATGCTTTGTACATGGTGGGTACTTAATAAAATGTTTCTGAAATAAAAATATTTCTGATGACTAATTGCTGTACATGAGCAGCTTATCCTGCTTGTTAAAAATAATGATTCCACTTATTTTTAAATTATACTATATTATAGCCCAGACAGAAAGAATTTATCTGGACATCTGCATATGAATTGTTTAATAATATGTTCCTGGTTGCACTTATTATATAAACTCCCTACCATCAAGTTGATTACGACTCACAGCAACCACCATTGGATTTCAAGACTGTAAATCTTTATGGAGGTAAACTGCCTCATCTTCCTCCAGAGAAGCTGGTGGGTTTGAACTTCCAACCTTCTGGTTAGCAGTCAAATGGCTTACCCACTATACCAACAATACATCTATTTTAATAAAAATCATGTAACTGGTTAGCAATTGGTATTTCACATCGTCCCCCCTTTAGACTATCAAAAATATCAGTTATTACTTAATAATCAATTTAAAAAGAAAAATTATGGTAAAATGCTGACATGTTTTAATCATAATTCAATTAATTAAATGCCAAATTTGTCCAGTATAAATTAGATTTAAATACTCTATATAAAAATGACTTATGCTTTGTGAACTCACTGTAAACTTGTCCTCCCTTTTCTTCCGATAGCCAAAGGAATTTTTCCTAAAAGAATGGAAAGCAAAAACTGTTAATTTTTCTCCATCTGGATTTTTTTTCACTGTATACACACACACACACATACATATATACAGACACATACACATTTTCAAAGAAAGAGACTAATTTCAGTCTTTATTATCCTATAATCTTTCAAAGATGACTTTTGATTTTTTTCTAAAATCTAAACCTTAGGAAGTACAAACAAAACAAGAGAAAATTATTATCAAGGACTAATACTGATGTCTACATAGGTTTAAAAAAGAAATTTAATAAAAGAATTGACTTGAGCTTTTATTAAGATTAACTGATGACATAAAGGAGAAGTTCACCAAAATCTAGAATCTACAAAGGATCAAATGGAAATTATAGAACTAAAATATAAGAAAAATACAGGATATCCAGTTGAATCTGAATTTCAGAAAAACAGTAATTTTTTAGAGTAAGTATGCCCCTTAACAGAATTTAACAGACTCTTAAAAGAAACAATGAAATCCAGAAAACCATGGAAGTGTTATGAAACAAAATAACTACTGTTCTAGAATTCTAATTCCAATGAAAAATATCCTTCAAGAAGGGTGATGGTTGAACAATATGATTACATAATTAATGTCACTTAACTGTCTGTGTATGTGAAGAGCATACAATGTGAATGTTTCATGATATCTATACTTGCCATAATTTTTTTTAAAAAAAAGGCAAATAAAGATAATATTTTGGATATACTTCTTCAAAAAATGTTTTCATTGTTTATTAGAAATTCAGATTGAACTGAGTATCTTGTATTTTATCTAGCAAGCCTAGATACGGCTGAAAGAGGGTTAGTACCGTAGAAATTATCAACTGAAGCGTCGAGAACAAAAGGGATGGAAAATACAAAAGCGAGTGTAAGAGATGTTTGAGACACTATGAAAAGGTCTAAAATAAATAAACTTGGAGTCCTAGAAGAGGACAGAAACATGGGTCAGGAAAAATATTTAGTAAGACAATGGCTAAGAAAAGAGACCTGGTGGTACAATGGTTAACTAGGCTGCTGACAGGAAAGTTGGCAGTCTGGACCCAACAAATGGCTCTGTGGGAAAAAGACCTGGCAATCTATTCCCATAATGACAAAAGGCAAAACCATATGGGCAGTTCTACTTTGTCACATGGGGCCTCTATGAGTTGATATCGACTTGATGGCACCCAATAGCAATGGCTAGGAAGTTTCCAAGTCTGATTCAGGGAATTTAGGATAAAAAATTAGAAATGACGAAATGTACAAACTCTGATATTCAAAGACAAAAACTGATAACGAAAATTTATCAAATGCTTATTTGCTTATCAACAAAATTTGAAGACACAAATAATCTTCTCAATCCTCCCGTATTACCCCCATCCTTATACTACTACTTCAATGCCTTACCCTTTATCACTAAAATCACATGAGAATTTCTAAATCCTTCAAGAACTTTCTATATCACCATGACCGTATGTATGTAAAAGTGTTCTATATGCCTACCATATAAAATTACACCCATCTGCCATCAGCAATGCCATGTCATGAATAGGAGTACTCTGAACATAAAACTTATTAAGTGGCTACTTCATGTCAGACAAGGAGCTCTGGTGGTACAGCAGTTAAAGCATTTGGCTGCTAACCAAAAGGTCAGCTGCTTGAGCCCACCACACCAGCTGCTCCATGGGAGAAAGGTGAGGCAGTCTGTTTCTGTAAAGATTTGCAGCCTTGGGAACTCTATGGGGCAACTCTACTCTATCCTATAGAATCACAATGAGTCAGAATTGACTCTATGACAGTGAGTTTGGTATGTCTGGTCATGTCAGGCACTGAGGAGACAAAGAAAGCTAAGACATTTTTCATTGCTCTTGAGGGGCTTACTTGGTCTAACAATTCACCTATTAATTTCAGTTTTTTTATTTTTCTATCCCTTTGTCATTTTAACTAAATTCAAGACTTGCCCAAAGGCCTTATATAAAATGGAAAGGAGTTTAGAATTAATCTCGACTAATCCCTTTATTTCATAAAAAACCAACACTAGTCTTATCCAATATGGTAGAACTAATTAGAATGCCAACTCAGTCTTTACAAAATAGGGATGCTACATAGATCCCTCAACTTCTGTAGAAGGATGATATATGGAGTTTCTGATTAGTGCATATAGAAGCATACCACAAACTTTCAGATATTGGAACAAAGTCATGCCCTTTTCTGCAGAAAACAAATCTGCTTTTGAGAAATAGTGCTTGATTTTCTACCTTGCTTGTTGTTGTTAGGTGCTATCGAGTTGGCTGACTCCTAGCGACCTTATGTAAAATAGAACTAAATGCCTGAGTATGGCACATCAGTGACCACAAGACTTAATCCACCTATTATGAATTGGGCATTAAATCATAAAACTGGGCAAATATAATAGTAATTCATCACCACACAGAAATAGTACATACAGGTCTACAAGATACAAGTAACCTACAAGAACAGTTAGTTAAGACTCTTGAACAAACAGTACTGCAGTATGGCCTGCTCGCTCTCAATCCATACCAATGGCTTCATCAAGAGTACCTTATCACCATCTGACCTTGGGGGGGGAAAAATTCTGGACCTGGATTACAGATGGTTAGGAACAGTAAGATAGATGGTTACAGCATAACATCTCAATCAAGAGTGCTCCTGAAAATCAAGGTTGAAGGGAAATCTTCCCATTGGACAATTTCAAGCAATATATTCAGCTATCTACTTTATCTGGACTCAGACATGGCAAAAAGATTCACAAACAGGGGTGCTAATAATCTGGTTAGATGTGAGCCTTTCAAAGGGCAGAATTGAAAGAATGATTGACAAGATGATCATGGGAAGAGGTATAAGGACAGGCCTCATGGAATGGACAGAATGTGAAGATATTTGTGTTGCCAATGACTGCTTGCCACAGGCATGAACTACAGAAAAGACCCTTAAAAGTCAAATGAAAAGATAATGTGTTCAGTTTCTTTCTCCAGACATCCCAAATACATAGTACCCATGATAGGAAGATGACTTCAACAACATGGACTTCCCTTCATCAAGGATAAGCTGTTAATCACTACTGGTATGTCTAATATAACAGCAGCAACCCACACTGAAGCTGAATGCCAGTCACTCCTCATTTCTTGATCAGCAAAATAAGTAAATAAAAAGTTATGCCCATGTTTACCATGCACTTCATCACACACTGACCTAATGAAGACTCAGTTACAAACTAAAGTTGGGCAACTACACTCTAAAAGAATGGGGTTCTAACTTACAAAGGAGCCTTGGTGGTACAGCAGTTAAGCATTTGGCTTAACCAAAAGGTCAGCAGTTTGAACTTACCAGCCACTCCACAGGAGAAAGATGTGGTAGTCTGTTCCCTTAAAAATAAGCTTCTAATCAGTGACTAGAATATGGTGTCATAGCCAGGATATATGGTTCCAAAGCATGGAATAGAAGTGGGAATGATACTTCACTGTTATAACTAATAATCTACTAGCAGAATTTTATCTTCCTCTCCTCACAACTTTGAATTCTACTGATCTGGATCCCCCTTTTCCCCAAAATGTTCCACCAGGTGATATAACAATAAAAAAAACCAAAACCAAACTCATGGCTGTCAAGTCAGACCCGACTCATAGTGACCCATCCTTGGGTTTCCGAGGCGGTATCACTATGAATGTAGATTGCCTAATTTTCCTTCCGAGGAGTGGCTGGTGGGTTTGAACTGCCAGCCTTCTGGTTAGCAGTCAAATGCCTTAGGCACTACGCCACCAGAGCTCCCAACAGTTACATAAAATAGAGATTGAGACAGCCACGTGGTCATGTGGAATTCTTCATTCCATTGAACCAATAAGCAAAGAAGGTTACTCTACTGGCTGGGGTGATTAATCCAGGGGTTGCTGACATACAAGGGGGAACCTAAAGGATTCTCTAGCATGTCTCTTAGTACTTCTAGTCCAATAGAAAAAAGTTGATGGAAAACAAAATCCAAACCCAAAATAAGGATGTTGGGGGCAAGGGGAGGATGATGATTATGGATTCAAGTCCTTTAGGAATGAAGTTTGAATTACCCCACCAACTACAGTCCTGAACACCTAATGTCTTGTCTGAAGACCAAGAAAACATAATGAGTACTGGAAGAATGAAGATATAAATAAATATCAACTATGGCTTCATGACCATAGAAACAAGGACTACTGAAGCTATGCATATTTTTCCCTTGAATGTTATGTATATATTGGTAACCAAAACCAAAAAACCAAACACACTGCCGTCGAGTCAAACCTGATTCATAGGACCCCCCTTGGGTTTCCGAGGCAGTATCACTATAGACGTAGATTGTCCAACCTTCTTTCCAAGGAGTGGCTGGTGGGTTTGAACCTCCAGCCTCTGGTTAGCAGTCAGATGCCTTAGGCACCATGCCACTAGAGCTCCTTATATATTGGTACACACGAATAATTCTTCTCACTCTTCTTATATTTTATGAAGGATTGTGATTACAGATCAATGATTACAGTTTTTAAGTTACGGTCTTTATGTGGTATATTCCTTAGGTTACACATTATTTAGGTGGTAACATGACTCCTCTGTTGGGGAAGATGATAAAGCGGAATCATTTGTACAAAACTGCATCCTGCTGGACAAAAGTATAAAGTTGTTATTGTCGTTTCAAGTTCAAATATTTGGAGACTGGAGAAACCCCTTGTAGCAATGGTTGAAGAGCTTGGCTGCTAACTGAAAGGTCGGTGGCTCAAACCTACCAGCCACTCCACAAGAGAAAGATGTGGCAGTCTGCTTCCATAAAGATTTACAGTCTTGGAAACCCTGAGGCAGTTGTACGCTGTCCTATAGAGTCGCTATGAATTGGAATCGACTCAATGACTGTCTATTTTTATATGGAGACTACAGCCAAAGAGGTAGACCATGTTGATTATTAAGATACTGTCTTACAGGTTCAGACACACCCTTTTCGTGATACTGAACTAGGATTCTGCAAACCACATTTTTCCTTTGCCAGGAAAGGCTAAAGGAGGGGAAAAGGAATATGGCTCTCCCGATTTGTATGCCATTTCTGTCATTGTCACTCTGAAAACTGTCTTTCACCTCAGAAGCAACAGCTGATTTCAGTTTGAAGTTTTTCTACACTGTCAAAATCAATCTCATTGTACCCCCTCAGAGATACCAGCACCATCCAACTGACATCTCCTCAGAAGTACCAGCACCAGTCTGGATGGTGTCCCTCTCTTAGGGGTGTGGGTCCCAACTCAACAGGGCCTCCTGTCTTCCAAGCTTCTAGGTTCTAATAACCCCCAAAACTCTTCCTTCTGATCCCCAGCCATAGGGCTGGTAGCTGCTCCCTACAGTTACTATCTCTGTATTATCTCAGTGTTCCCTTCTTGTCTTTGCAGTTCTCTACCACCTGCTGAACCAATTTTACATAAAATTTTCTGTTAAAATAACTGGTGTGGCTTTTGTTTTCTGACATGGCCAGTGCTAGTTCTACTAAATCATGCTACCTTCAGACATTCTATTTTATAATCTTATAAAAGTTTACTAAATGCTGATTCAGTAACTACAGATTTGATTAACAGCTTCTAGGTTCCTCTTTAATCCCAAACTGCATTGAAAATACAAATTAAACCAAAAAGAAAGAAAAACATTGTGCTGTATATATCATGTATAGAAAACTTAGAAATATTTTCCTTGAAATCTTTCAAGATAGGTTAAGAAAAAAAAAGCCTGGATAGGTTAAGTATCTTGCTAGTTATTTGTTAGAGTGGGATTTACTCCTTACAGTCATCAAATTAACAATTGAGGGAACAAAGCCCACAATGGCTTGGTTATGCAAGGATAAAACCTAGTTTTAATTTATCAACATAGGATAGGATACCACTGACAGAATGCAAATCGTTTGACTCACCACATCTTTTCTAATTTCATTTCTCTAATGGAAGAGTAAGTGGAAGAAGACAACAAGAAAGAAAGGAGCAAGTGTTATCAATAGAAAAGTAAGAAAAATAGGAATAGTCTATTTTTACAATAGAAAGACCCCTAGAAATAATAGCAGAAACTGTGGAACCAAGGGTGTTAGAATATTTAACCCATATCAGAAATATGTAAAATTTCCTACAACAGTTTCTGTTTATAAATAAATTTAGTGGGGCTGGAATTTAAACTCTGGTCTGCCTGGCTACAAAATTCATGTATCTGTCTGCTACACCCACTGCTAGACAGAAAAAGGATGCAGTGAGGCTGGGAACTTATGGGATAAGCACCTGACATGAGGTGGAAAGGAAGGATATAGGGAAAATTGACTAGGCATATAAAATGTAAAGAGACTGGCAGCTGTCAAGCTCCAAATTCTCTGCCAATAGTAACTGTGAGCTAAAATATCTCAATTCTATCAATAGTTCTCACTGTGTATCATAAAATCAATGAAATCATTTATATCACTGCTCTAAAAATAACTGCTCATAGTAATTACATAAAACCTTTGATGCTGATAGCTTCTACTTTGACTTTCTGTGATATATTTTAAAATAATGACTTATAAAACATATCCAAAGTATAGGAACTTAAAAATATTAATAGTTTATGATAGGTACATAGTACCTGTTCAACAAAATACTTGAAAAACTCACCTTCCTCTACCTAAACCAGGAGATGATTCAAGACTACTCTGTTCCACTCGCCCAGTTCCAATATCTCTCTTGGCATAATTTGAAGGGTTTTGTATCCGTGTTCTAGTTTGACCTGTTTGCCTTGTTTGTGGGCTCCGGACACCATTAATTAATCGATCAGCAGTAAAGTTAAATATTGAAGGACTTTCTAATAATCCAGGTCCTCTCTCTGCACTAGGAATTGTATGGCGCAGATGTGATTTGCTAGGATTCCTAGAAATAAAATTTTTGTATGTACAGTTATAAATGATCAAGGCATTATGTATCGAGCAGACTTATAGAGGAACATCCATGCTGAAATCTGCCTTCTATTTAATAAAAGATGAAAAATGTTATCAAAAATAACTAATTCGTATCTGATTAAGTGTCAATGTTTTACTTCGTAATATTTAAGTCCCAGTCCAAATTAAAAAGCATAAATGCACAGGTGCAAGTTGCAAAGCCCCAGAAAACTTTATTTAAAAAGAATCTATCCTTTATATAGGCAACTGTTGTTGTGTGCCATCGAGTTGATTCCTAGTGACCCTATATGACAGAGTTGAACTGCACCATAGGGATTCCTACACTGTAATCTTCACAGGAGTAGATCACCAGTATTTTCTCCCATGGGGTGGCTGGAGGGCTTGAACCACTGACCTACTGGTTAGCAGCCGAGCACGTAACCATTGTGCCGCCATGGCTCTTTTACAGGTAAAAGCAGTACAGATTTTAGTATTTAACCTTTATAGAATGTAATTCTATGCTTCATATACCATATTTTTATGCATATAACATGTCCACGCAAATAATGCATCCACACATATAATGTGTACAGTGTGCATACAAAACAAACGTGCAAGAGGAGTGTGGGGTTTGCAGAATAAGCTTTTAACACGCATGTTATTTGCATTAAAAACCGGTAGTTTTACCTCTGATAAACTTTACTGGCTGGTAAAATATACCATTAAAGACAGTCAGAAAATAGTTGTTTTATTTAGCAAATGTGACTTAAGGTTATGGTTAGGATTACCAAGATTTAATAGGTTTAAACAACATGGCAACAACTTCTTGTTACAAAAACGCTGGAAAAATAATAACTTGTAACTCATAAGCATTTTAATGACATATAGAACTTGCCTGCTTCTAGGAGGATACTGTCTGAGTGAAGTCAGAGGAGATGTTGCAGGTTTGAAGGTTGGAGACGTAAAACCATTTATAAATCCAGTATTTGGAAATGGAGTAACCTAGATACATTAAAAAAAAAAAAAAGATAAAGAAACCAAAAAAACATACTTCAATGTTGTTAATGCTACTTATCTGAAGTACAAATTAAAGTCCCGGTCCAAATTAAAAAGAATATATGGACAAGTGCAAGTTGTACCTAGGTCATTCCTTAATCTTCCTAGTGATGTTATGTCCATTTTATTCTTAAAAATATTCATAGGTTGAGAGCATTTTATAACATTATCATTAATGGATAATATCTATTGAGCACTCACAACTGTGAGTATGGTGCTAAGAACTTTTTCTGTATTGCCTCAGTTAATCCTAACAACAATTCCATGAAAATCATACATTTATACCTATGGAAACTGGTATTAGAGAGGAAAGGAACTTGTTCAAAATCACATAGGCAGTGAATCCTTGAGCATAGATAGGTATTGTGTTTGCCTGAAAAATGCAAATGCTTAATCTAATGATGCTAATAATACGTCCTCCATAACTGGTAAGAAGTAAAAAATTATTCTTTATTCTCAATGCCTCTATTAAAATTCGTCAAAGTTCTCAATCCTAGGAACATTTAAGTATCCACTGCTACTAACTTAATTACAGTCTTTAAGTGTTGTTGTTTTCCTTTACCTTTACTTCCATTCAAATGTGGTTCTAAAGATCAGGGTATTTTAAGAGAATTAATAATTTCCCCATGTCACAATTTAAGATGATACACAGCACACAAACAGTAACAAAAGATTCAGAAGAAATTGAGAAAGTGCCACAGCCCTTAAAAGCCCTTATAAGCTTAAATATAATCTTTAAAAGGTAAAAAATACTAACTATAGTATTTTAAATACCAATCAACTATTTAAAATATCTAGATACATACAAAAACAAGATAAAAGTCTGTGTTGCAACACAGGTTTTTTTTTTTTTTTTAAATGAGGAGAGTGATTACTTATAGTTTTTTGGATTCTGGATATGTGGCTTCAAATGTTTTCTGCATACATGACATTCCTTAATGGGTTCCATTTAACATCTTGGTGCCTTCCAATCCCGACCCTAAAGTTTCACTAAGTTGACAGTGATACATACAGACCCTTCTTCATTTGAAAAGGAACTCTGGTGGTGCACTGGTTAAGGAATTTGGATGCTAACTGAAAAGTCAGTGGTTCAAATCCACTAGCCGTTATGTGGGAGAAAAATGAAGCAGTTTGCTTCAGTAAAGACTTAAAGCCTTGGAAAGCCTATGGGCCAGTTCTTTGTCCTACAGGATCACTATGAGTCGGAACTGACTCAGTGTTTGGGGAAAAAAACTAAGCAATTCTCCCCTTAACTAAGAGCTAACTGAAAGTAATATACATAAAAATAGTATTAGAGACAGCTGAGGATCAAAATTAAATCATTCTGATTTTTAAAAAGCTACAAATGGGAAATGCTGGGAGAGAAAGATATACTTAAAACTTTGTTAGAATCTTCAATTAATTATCTGAGAATCTCTACAGTCTATAAAAATATGGCTATGTAAATAGTATCAATCACACCAGAATAAGTATTTAATCCAGAACTAGATTTTGAAGATTACAAATCATGATAAATTCAATCACAACTAATCTTGATTAATGTAAATAGTTTCACATATGTACTTTTTAATATAGGATCCTGGTATTTAATTTTGCTCAAGAGTTTAAAAATAAAACTGGCTTTTAAAATAATAACTTGCTCAGAATTTACAGGCACCATCTTTGTTTCTGCTAAAAATGATACATTATGTTTTGGAGCAAGTAAAGGGTGATGAAGGATACTTGTCTTCACATATGCAAACCATTATCAAAGTAATTATCTCAAATAATTATTCAATGTAAAACAGAAGTCAAGGCCAAAAAACTGATTCAGGATCCCAAGAGATCTTAAATCTAAAAAAGAATAAATACAATTGAAGGACAAATTTCACTCCAGAGAAGTTGGCAGTTAGACAGGTTTGGAGAAGATTATTTAACAGCAAGAGTTTATGATCTCTATATTTCCTTTTAAAATTCTTTTATATTTTTTGGAAAAAGAAATATATAGATATGGGTACACTTCTACAGAATGTAGTAAATACTTCAAGCAAGAAGTACATTTTCCTACCATTAGGTTTCACACAATATAGACAGAAACAACTGTAGCCCCTGTATGTCCAATCTTTTAATGTAGTGATTATAGACTTTGGAGGGGGGTGTTTACGGGTCCCTTTGTGAAGTTCTCAAAATTATCACAAAAGCCTAACTCACTTCTCTGTCCCCAGTCAGTATCTTTGACACTGCCACAAGAACTATTTTCTAAATGGAGTATGATTTCATTTCCCAGCTTAGATGACTTCCCCAACCCAAAAGATAGAAGTCTGAACATCTCAGGACACTATGTAAGCACACCTTTATACTCTGACCCTGATAGAACTTACCAGCCTCGCCTCTGATTTAGCACAGAAATACTCAATAATACATAATCATGCCAATGTGCTTTCATGCATGCTATTTATTCTCACAAAGCTTCCTTCTTTTTGATGCTTTCTCATAAATACATTCTTAACTTTGAAAGCTCAACAATGATGACAATATGATACCTTATAATATTCCTAATTACTGTATTTCATGGTATTTTGTATATATCTCCAACTTTACCATTACTCCCATCTGATAATATGTATCTTTTCCAGAGTTCCACCCTCCATGGATAAACAGCATCATTTATTTATCTTTACATTCTAAGTTGTACTAACAGATACCAACAACGAAAATTAAAGCAATCCTTCCCCCTCCCCCCTTTCTTGAACATCACTTTGGATCCTTATCAGCAGTAACAACAAAACTCCAGGTTACTTCCCCACACCGACTGGAGTGTTTGGTACACAGCTATCTTCTTCACTTCCTTCCATTATCCTGAGCAACATACAGCCTGATGGTACATCCTAACTTTCCCTATCTTAACCATGTCCTGGATGTGAACCATTTTCAAAGTTATGAATTCACTCTCTGGTTTCTGACCAAAATATTGCAGACACTCCACTCTTACATCTTTCTTATTCCAATTAACCTGGTTTGTACCTTCATAGGCTACAAATGGACCTATAGTCTGTTAATCCTTACCCATCCCCCTAATTAGATGCCTAATGAACACTTCTTTTTCTAACCTAGACCTTAATTTCAAGGACACACTTACCTATATTCCTGCTTCTCTTGCTTCCCAGTCAATCAAACTCCCAGCCCAAGATTAGGACCCACCTAATCTTTCTAGCATCTACAGCAACACAGCTAGATAAAAATGAATGGACTCATCATAAATTTCTAAATTCCAATCATAGACTCTTAATATAGGCCAAAAATCTGTGAAATTTTCAATGTCAACCAACTTTAAGGTTGTTGTGAGCATAAATAAAATAAAGTTTATAAAACAATGTCTTCTATTTTTACTTAACTATTAGGAGTCTATTAAAATATCTTTCTTCTTAAAAAATTTCCCCCTATTTCTCCTCTAGTTAAAACTTGCATTCTTCTGTGCTTATACTATAGCTCCAATCATATTCTGTGTTTTACCACAGAACATACAGTTAAGAAAGGAAACGTTAGACAAGAGATGAGGTAAGTGGGGAAAGGGTCAAGATAACAGTATTTGACTTTTTTATGTATATAGTACTTTTTATGTATATAGCTCCATATTCATCTCCAAATTAAATTTAAAATCCACTACATAACTTGAATGTTCTGGTTTACTATGACAGACTATAAACATATCTGGCTCCTTTATTATTACTAAGATTTTAATTCTTTAAACTACATTATATGCAATATCTATGATAATATTTTATGTTAAATAAATTCTAAGTAAAGAAAAAGTCTTACCAAGGATGGATCAAGATAGCTATGTGTCGTTGACCATGTCTGTGGGGTAATTAAGCTGTACAAAGGAAACTGTTGTTGTGGGCTATATACTGGAGGTAAATAAAATGATGTTGTATAACGCTGCTGGGTATAAAGGTTCATATCCAGAGGTCTAAATCCATTCTTTGGCAAAAATGTGTTTATAGCTATTGCCTTTGCTTTTATCCGTGCCTGTTTGAAAATATTAAAATTTTATTAGCATATTTAAGAACATTGATTTTAATATAAACAAAGTATAGCCAATGGTCTTGCTTACCTTAATTGGTTTTCCTTGGAAAGTTTTAACTTCTTCTCGTAGGTATCTGTAAGCCTAAGGGCAAAATCACCCAAAATACCATTGTGTTAACCTCATAAATAAGATGAACTGGTAGTAAATTCAATAGCTCAAATGAACAATTATTTAGATAAAAAATGGTGAAAAAGACTTAGAATAGCAATTCTTAACCTTCTTTGGGTCAGAGATCATTGAAGAGAATGTGATGAAAGCTATGGAACCTCTACTCAAAATTCTCATAAACATCTGCGTACAAATGTAGAAGTAATAGGTAACATAAAAGTCTTCCATATACCATAAGCTAAGAGTCCTATCTAGGGCAAAAAATTGAGTACTGAGCTCTTAGTAATAATCTCAACTGGAAACTAGGATCACAGAGTTTAGGAAAGGAAATGCTAGGCAGGAATGGAGATAAATTAAGGGCAAGACTAGGACAGTAAGATTCAAAAGTCATTACTACTTCTTTTCTAAATTAAATCTAAATTTCACTACATCAGTTTGAAGGCTCTGTATAATCTGACTCAAACTTAACCAACCATATTTACCATGTAAGTCATGAACATTTACACTCTGCTTCACAAACACGGTTACTCTTATTTCCCATTCCCCTGCTTTTCTTTTCTCTTCTACCCAATTAAAACCCATCTCTCAGGTTTTTTTCCTTTCTGAATACTCAAAAAACACTTCCATCCTTCAACATTTTATAATATACTGCATTCCTCTGTCGCCACCCCCCAATCATATCTTGTAAATCATTTATTTTATTTTTATTATGCTTTGGGTGCAAATTTACAGAGCAGCATTTGTTTTACATTCAATAATTTACATATATTTGGTTTTACTCCCTGATTACCATCCCCAAACCTAACCCACTCTCCTCTTCTCCCTTCCCTGTGACCCCTCATCTTGTACCCTTCTTAGTTATGCACGCCTCTGTCCAGCTTTCTCTCCATGTGAATGCTGCCACTCTGATGCTCCAGGGCCGATTGCTCCAGGGGGTGTATCTCCATAGAGTAGGTGGGTACATGCGCTAGGTTGGGTGTTTTGGATGTAAGTCTTTCAACTGTCGGGCTGAGAGCCAGTCCTTAGGAGTGAGTCCTATCCTAGGCCCGAAGTATATCCCAGGGCCATAGTCTTGGGGGTCCTACCAGACTCATCTGAGCAGTAATTCTGGTTGTTACTGTGTTTTTGAAATTTCATTCCACGTTTTTCCTTTCACTCTATCCAGGATCTCCAGTTTTGATCCCTTCTCAAGTGGTTGGCATTGGTAGCCAGGCACCACATAGTTCTTCTGGTCTCAAGGCCCATCATATCCTAGGGCTGATTGTTTCCAAATACCATTGATTTTCTTCACTCTTCTTCACTTCAGATGAAAGGTGACCATTAGCCACATCTTAGATGGCTGCTCAAAAGTTTTTAAGACCCCAGTTGCTCCTCACCAAAGCAGGTTGTGGAACAAGATTTTTATTAAACTTCATTCCTTTGTGCAAGTTAATTTGTTTCCCTTTTTAAGGGCAGAGAAATTATCTTAAATCTTCATTACACCTTACAAGAAATATAAGGAGTTGCTCCTTTTGAGGTGACATAAAGAGTGAGTCAAAACTGATTCAAGGGCAAGAGGTTTCCTTTAAAAGTATCATACTACATGGGGTAGTGGGATGAAGAGCTTACCTGTTGTGCATCAGCTTCTGTTTCAAATGTGATAAACCAATTATCGTTATAGGCAAATTCACAGTTTATAAATTTTGGTAAATTATCTCCTTTAAAAAGTGCTTCTACTTCCTATAGAAAATAGAGAAGTTAAAAATTAATTCTCAACTATGCCACTTTTTGCCCTTACAAAAATAATGAATGCATTCTTTTAAAGGCCATATCCTTAAACAAAGTATGATATTATGTCTATTAAATTTCAAAAAGTTGAAGAGTAAGTGTGGCATCAAGAATATGGATTATATTATTACAGGGGGAAAAAAACCCCACAACATATTGACAACTTTCTCTATTCCCAAAAGACCATTAAGCTAAACTAATGCGAAAATGTCATATTTATAGGAATATAAAAATATTCATATCCAATATGGAATTATTCAAAATGTATGGCATCCAATAAAAAAATTACTAGGCAGGAAATACAGCCAGTAATGAGGAGAAACACCAATCAAACAAAATAGAGCCAGTAATAATAGATGATTAGTAGACAAGGACATTAAAATAGGTACTGAATATATATTCCGTAAGTTCAAGAAGGTGTAAGATTGAGCACGTTAAACAGACATGGGAAACTTAAAAAGAAAAAAAAAAGACCCAAATGAAATTACTGGAGATGAAAAATCCCATGTCTTAAATGAAAACTACACTGAAAGGAATTAACAGTTAGTTACATGCTAAGAAAAAACATTTCAGGAAATAATGGCTCAACAAACTTCTAGCACAAGAAACTAGAAAGACACTACCCCAAGGTGAGTAAAATGCCTTAAAATCAGAGATAAAATCTTCAAAATAGCTAGAAAGAAAGAAAACTCACTATAAACAGAGGAACAAAGATAAAAATAACCACAGCAAACAATGGTGGAACGATTTTTTACAACAAACACAAAAAATCTGTCAATCCAAAACTGTTTACCCAGCAAAAAAATCTTTCATATACGATGGTGACATAAATACTTTCTCAGACATACAAAAAGCTGAAAAAATTTTCACCAGCAGACCTACACCACAAGATATATTAAAGGAATTCCTTCACAAAAAAGGAGAATGATATCTTTTTGCAAGTATGGACACAGACAAAAGAATGAAATATAACTATGAAGATTTAAAATGTATGACAACAACAGCAATCAACCATATGAGGTCAAAAGGGCATCTGTGGAAGGGATAAGAAAGAAGGAAGGATAAACGGAAATGGTAAACACAGAGAGGAAATGTGAAGAGTACTATTATGGGGATTGCAATCAATGTCACAAATCAAAATACATATGAATTGAATGTGTTTAATGTAACACCAATTTGTTCTGTGAACTTTCACCTAAATCTTAATAAAAAATTAGAATAAAATAAAAAGGAGGAAAAAAATGTATGACAGTAGCACAGAAGACGAAAAGAGGACCATGAAGGAATATTGCTCTAAGGCAAAAAGAAGTGATATAACTTTAGTGAAAAGCAGACTTTGATTAAGTTAAAGATGTCACCTATAAGCCCTAAAGCAACCACTAAAATAGCAAAACAGAGTTATGCCTAATAAGCTACAAAAGGAGATGAATATACCTATTTAACCCAAAAGAAATATGGGGAAAGTGAACAAAGAAAAGGAAACAAATAGAAAACTAATAGCAGGATGGTCTGATGTTACCCAATTCTTTAAAGAGGCCATAAAACCAACAGAATTAACTTGAAGTGGCCAAGAATTAATGTGACTGGCTAAACTCTCAGCATCTTATACCTGACTTTTCTTCATGATCTCAAAAGCATAACTATCAGTGTGTTTACAACACAATTTAGATCAAATATGTGGATAATGTCTAACAGACTTACAGCAATGCAATAATGGTAGATACTTTTTGTTATTATTAAACTATCCAATATTATGGTTTCTTAAAATTATTGCCTAAATTAGCAATTTTCATTTTTGCCTTTTTCACTATGATGACATCTTCATGGATGGTACAAAATCACTGGTGAGTAAAAAAGCTGACAAGTTAGCTCAAATCAAGCAGTTAACTACACTATTAGTCACTGTATTCTTCACAATGACACAAAAAATTTTGTCACACGTTTGTTTTGAAAGTTATTTATCACGAAAATATATTAACTTGTATGCTTATTATTTTTTAAACAATTATTAAAAAATTTTCTCACTTTTAACTTATAAACACTATAATAAATTATTTTTAAAATATAAAGGAGTCCTGAGACCAAAACATTTGAGAACCACACTTATAAACAAACCATTTTTTAACTATCAGTATTTTTAAATCCTAGGGGAAAAAAAAAAGTGTTACTCTAAGTATTTACCTTTAAAAATACACCCTTCAAAAAACCCTCAAATAAACATAAAACCCAAATAAATAAACACACACACACACACACAAAAGAAAATTTTCAAGTATCCTTCAGAGAAATACTTACTTCTATAGGGGTAGATTCAGATATTTCACGCAATATTACTATGCAACGGTTTTGATTTGGCCTTACTTTTTCTCCCTTCTCATCCACCTGGACTAAAGGTAATGCTATAAAGAGAAGAAAACTGAGTGTAAAACAGTATTATTAAATCAATTACGTATATTCTGTTATGATATAATATAGATACTTCAGTGGAATGTTTTATACCATATTATTGCTGAACACACTGAAGAAAATTATACAATGAGCAAAACAAACTATCAAAAGGTTTTAAACCAATCCTGCATGTTAAAATTTTCAAAATTTAAGAACACAAAAATTTTAAAGTCCTACAAAAAAGATAATAAATTTAACACTACGAAACAAAGTTCTGAACAGTTCAAACATTAAAAACAGATAAAAAATTGAAGGTTGGTAGCATTCTCCTTTTTATACGTCACTAAAATGAAACAATATTCTTTCTTATATAACTATTTATTTTGAAATAGTTTAATAAAGACTCACAAGAAGTTCCCATGGAGCCTTCATCCAGTTTTCCCCATAACTACAGTACATTGTCAAAACAAGAAAACATTGATAAATTAGACTACACAAAGCATTTGAACCTTCAGCTTTTCAAAAGACTCTGTTGGGACAAAAAATGAGCTAAAGGTGAAGAAAATATTTGCAAATCATGTATCTGATAAAAGACTCTTATCTAGGAGGAAAAAAAAATATATGAGTGTGTGTGTGTTTTTATATATATATATCTATATCTTTTTTAAAACTCAGTAGTAAGAAAATAGAAAAAGGGTGGGAATATCTAAACAGACAGTTCAGCAAAGACAAAAGGAGTGTAAACAAGCACAGGAAGAGAAATTCTTCATTAGAGAAATACAAATTAAAACCACAAATTAAAGACAGTTTTAGATATTCTAATAGATATGTATTGATCTATTATAATATCTAAAATATGTATTTCAAAATGACTGCTCATTAATACAGTCCACAAGGACATGTTCTATACCCTACTATAGTAGTAACAACTGGGGTCTTAAAAGTTTGCAAGTGACCAGCTAAGTTGCAACATTTGTCTCTTCCTAAGGAGAAAAGAAGAGTGAAGACAAAGACTCAAGGAAACAGCTAGTCCAAAAGACTAATGGACCATGTGAACCATAGCCTTTACCACCCTGAGACCAGAAAAACTAGATGGTGCCTGGCTACTGTAAGTGGCCGCTCTGACCACGATCACAATAGAAGGTACTGGACACAGTGAGAGAAAAACGTGAAACAAAATTCAAAATCATAAAAAAGACCAAATTTATTGGTCTGATAGAGAGACTGGTATAACTAGAGCCTATAGCCCTTAAACATTCTTCAAACCTGGAACTAGAGCCACTACCTGGGATCACCTTTCAGCTAAACGACAGACCAGACCTACAAAGTGAACAGTAATATCTGAGAGGAATGTAATCCTCAGAACATTCAACCCAACAGTACCAAAAGAAGTATTTGCCCAAAAACAAAGCACAGATGGCAGAAGTTACATGAAAGAAGGATGAAAAGAGGGGAGTTCTGGTAAGATGGCGGACTAGGCGGAAAGACTGCACAGACCCTCTTCAACAAAGAAAAGGGAAACCAATTAACACAGACA